TTTCTCAAGCAGAAGAAATCCTCCTAGCCACCATATCTGGGAATGGGCTAGATCTTACCTGAAGCCAGCACATCTCAGAGTCTCACCCAAGGCCCATGGCATGCTACATGGGTATCGCTGCCGATTATTCAGGGCCCAAGGACTGTTTCATCAGCAAGTGATGGGCCCCTCTTGGACTGCATCTCTCTGTTTAAGGCAGCAGGTTTCCTTCTGGCCCAGGGTGTGTCTAGCAATATCATCTGGGACCTGGAGCCTAGAAAGAGGGTCTCATGACTGATTAGTGCCCTATCTTACTGTGGCTGAGATATATCCAAGATGCAAGACAATGTCTTCTTTATTCTTCCCTCTCCTCTTCTCTAGCAGAAGGAAGGAGTCTTGAGCTGTGCAGCCTGGATTTCGGGGAGGGTTGGCACAAGCACTCCCTTTGCCCACTCCATCTGATTTCTCAGTATGTTGTGTACTCCGCAAGTCCACCAGCACCGAGCCCAGTTCAGCACTAGAACTCGCCTAGGAGCTGCAGTTCTTGTGGCCTAGACTTCATCTCACGTTTATTTAGGGTCTAGTGCACTTTCGCCCATGGTAGTAAGGCTTACCAGAACTCAAATTTTGACTGCTGAGATGGGAAACTCCCCTCTAGGTAGGGCTGGTTTAAATCTCCCTCTGTGGGCAGGTTTCAGCTGAGTTCAGCCTGGTTTTGCTTTCATGGCAGCACTAAGGTCAATGCAGTGTTTCATGATTTCTGTGTTCACCCTCTCCCAAGTCCTCAGGTTTTCTCTCCGTACCATGTAGCCACTGCCAGGGGATGGGAGAGGAGTGGAATCAGGGATTCAAGCCTTTTTTCTACCCTCTTCAATGCCTCTTTTAGCCATATGAAGTTAAAACCAGGTTCTGTGTGTGGCCACCTAATTTTTGGTTCTTATAAAGGCTTTTGGCCGGGCGCGGTAGCTCAAGCCTGTAATCCCAGCACTTTGGGAGGCCGAGGCGGGTGGATCACGAGGTCAAGAGATCAAGACCATCCTGGTCAACATGGTGAAACCCTGTCTCTACTAAAAATACAAAAAATTAGCTGGGCATGGTGGCGCGTGCCTGTAATCCCAGCTACTCAGGAGGCTGAGGCAGGAGAATTGCCTGAGCCCAGGAGGCGGAGATTGCGGTGAGCCGAGATTGTGCCATTGCACTCCAGCCTGGGTAACAAGAGCGAAACTCCGTCTCAAAAAAAAAAAAAAAAAGGCTTTTGTTTTTCGTTTTTAGTATAGATAGTTGTTAAAGTGGTGTCCCTGCAGTGGGGCATGGGGAAGATTGGTGGAGCCTTCTATTTGGCTATTTTGCTCCACCCCTGGTGTCAAGGCAGTGACTATTGAAGGTAACTGCCCTGCTCTGCCCTCCAGCACGTCATTTACACATCTTCATAGTTTGCATTTGTCCTCTCCAACTTGGCTCTGTTTCAGTTCTCTACACTTAAGACCACTTCCTCTTTTTTTTTTTTTTTTTTTTTTGAGACGGAGTTTCGCTCTTGTTACCCAGGCTGGAGTGCAATGGCGCAATCTCGGCTCACCGCAACCTCCACCTCCTGGGTTCAGGCAATTCTCCTGCCTCAGCCTCCCGAGTAGCTGGGATTACAGGCATGCGCTACCATGCCCAGCTAATTTTTTGTATTTTTAGTAGAGACGGGTTTTCACCATGTTGACAAGGATGGTCTCGATCTCTCAACCTTGTGATCCACTCGTCTCGGCCTCCCAAAGTGCTGGGATTACAGGCTTGAGCCACCGCGTCTGGCCCACTTCCTCTTATTAGATAAGTTTATCTCTGCTTCCTGAAACCTTCTTTGCTTTGTCTCCCCGCCATAACTTCAGTGCTGTATGTTACTCATTTGCTATTTGCTATGCAATAAATAATTTCATGACATTTCTTATTTTAAGCATCACCATAATTAAGTTCCTAGAAGGAAAGCAAAATTCTTTTTTGCATCGCTTACGGCAAAGATGGCCCTAGACACATAATAGGCAATCAGAATCTGCTGAGTGAGTTTATGAGTGCATGACCCACTGGGAATGGCTAGTTTCCTTAGAAAGGCCTATACCATTAAAAAGAGTTACTTTTTAATAAGCACATACTATGTGCCAGATACAGAACTAAGCAATTTCCATGGGCTATATACTTTAATCAAAATGATAGCATTCTCAGGGGGATGCTATTATGACCTCCATAGCAAGGAAGTAAGGGTGCAGACATTCAATTCTAGCCAGTCAGGCTCTGAGGCAGGCAATCTTGAACCAGAAACTTGAATGTAATAGCAACAACTGAGCCACTTTAATTGAGGAAACAGCAAAAGATGCAGTATGCCTCCTTCCTGAAAATTAAGTGGTCACATTTCAAGGGAAAGTGTTTTCCTTCATGATGACTCTGGGCGTATCAGATAACCTGGGTACTGTCTGCAATTATGTGCATTAATTTTGTTCAGGCATGAAGACCATAACAATTAGTGTATAATAGTGGCCACGTGTCAGACACTGTGCTAAGTACTGTACATTCATTATTTCATCTCCTCTGCCCAACAGCTCTAAACATTGGTGTTATTATTGTTGTTATTTCTAGTGTCCAGATGGGAAACCGAGGATCAGAGAGGTTAAGCAACTTCTCAGAGTCACATAGTCAGTGGGTGTAAAGTTCTATCAAAATCCCAGTCTCTCCTACTAAAAAAATATGTCCTCTTAAATGCTAAACCATGGGCTTTCAAATTTCAGTGTGCACAAGGATCTCCTGGGGAGATAGTTAAATGCAGATTCCCCAGACCCTACCCTCAGGGATTTTCTAATATCTCAGGGATTCCATGTACCCTCTACCCTCAGAGATTCTCTACCCTCAGGGATTCCATTACAGACATGGTGGTGTCTAGAACCTATGTTTTTAATAGCCACCCAGGGTTATCTGCTGCAGATTGTCCATGAACTGCACGCTACTATACTGACTTCCCTCCTCTCTGTAAGTAGCTTGAAGTAGAGTCTTCTGTAGGCTGTTCCCAGATGTTGGGTTTCATTGTGTAGCCAGTACCCCGGAAGTAGTGATCAGGAGCTTGCCCTGTAGCCTGCCAGTACTACCAGGATTTAACACCCATGGCTTTTTCTTAGTTAGGATCCTCTTCTTAATGCTCCTTTGTTCTCCTGTTTTGGATGGCCTGACTGGAAACCTTGCAAATCCTTTCATTTCTACCCCCCATGTCAGGCCATTCTTGCCTTGGTGTAAAGAAATACAGGAGACTGGATGATTTATAAAGAAAAGAAATTTAATTGGCTCATGGTTCTGCAGGCCGTACAGGAAGCAGAACACCAGCATCTGCTTCTGGGGAAGCCTCAGGGAGCTTTTACTCATGGCAGAAGGTGACGGGGCAGCTTGCACATCATGTGGTGAGGAGAAAGAAAGACAGAGTTGGGGGAAGGTGCCTCACTTCACAGCAACCAGATCTCGGGAGAGAACTCACTCACCAACACAAGGGTAGCATCAGACCATGAGTGGTCTTCCCCCATGACCTAAACACTTCCCACAAGCCGCATGTCCAACATGGATCACATTTCAACATGAGATTTGGTGGAGACATACAGTCAAATCATGTCACTCTGTAAAGTGTAGTCTGATCTAAATATCCAGCATCATGCTTCTGTCTCCCTGGCTATCATCTTCTTGGACTCCCTAGCTTCTCTCTGAAGTGACCACCCAGGCAAAAAGCATTCCCAATGCTCAGAGCCACAGAGCAAGCATGTAGTTCTTCCTAATACTTAACTTCTTCCCTGAAAGAATTACCCCTTGGTTCTGAGAAGGATACTAATGGGAAATTAACGGTGGCCCTATAATTTCCTTTTGTTCTTCACCAGAAAGTAGAAAAGTTATTTGCAAGATTTCTACGGAAAAAATCTACCCTTTTATTAATTCAGTGAATTCAAGCAAGAGTGTTGCTGCCTTTCTTGCCCCAAGGGACATTGTCATCGAATTTTGGAAAAATTCTGCCTGCTCCATTACAAGGCTACTTTTTCCATCCTTGCCTGTGTATCCTCTGGGGACCAGTGAAATGGGTGGTTCATTCCCTGAGGGGGATTTATGAATGTCTCTTTCAATATTAATGTGATGCCTGGCAGACGCAATGTTGAGCAGCACAGGTTTTTTTACACAGTGCAGAGTGGGGCATGACTTCCTGTGAATAACAGGTACGAAGTGCAATGTGAAGTCAGGCTACCACTAAAGAAGGGGCACATGTTAACCAGAATAAGTGAGACCGCTGCCCCTCTGAACAGAGGGGTCTTAAAAGCAAATCATTCTACTCAAGCAGCGTGCAGTGCAACAGCTTTGGACACTTTTATAGAGACAGTGAGACAGGTTTGCACCATAGTGATGACTGCAAAATAGGTTTTTGGTGACTGGTTTAGTGTTATCTCAGGTAATTCAATTTCCTTAAATATGCCTATGCCACTGCAAAGTCCCATATTAGAATGCCAAGGGTGGAGAACTGTTGGATTAGAATCATAGTTCCGTGAGCATTCATTAATCCATTCATTCAGAAATATTTATTTCACCTCTACCATGTAATAGTGAATGCTAAATACTAAGGCAAAGCATATGAGTCAACCGGAATTCCTACCCTTAAGGAACTTGCAGTCTGGTGAAGGGGAACTTACAGTGCAATGTGCTAAATGCTTAAATGCTGGTTTTCAAATGTGCACAGTGCGCTACAGCAGCCTGGAGGAGAGGAGAGGTCTCAACCCAAATGGAAGGTGGGTGAAGGAGGGAAAAGGTCAGGGAAAGTTTTCTAAATGGGACACTGGAGAAGAGTATTCAGAGGCTAAGGGTATTTGGAGAGGAGGTAGGAAGATAAACCAGGAGGCAGAGAAAGGGTTAATGGCTTCGTCTTCTCCAGTTGTCAGTCAATCCTTGCCAGTTGTCCAGGTTTTACCACCTGTCAACTAAAACGTAATTGAGAGAAATCTCTCATCAAGAGGTTGATTGTGACACAGATTCCCATATCCAGGGGAAAAATCCATCACCCGTGCAGATGGCTTCTTTTTTGGCATCTGGGAGAGTCCTGTCTGTTAGCAAAATGTAGATATTTGCAATCGAGTTATTTCCAGTCTTCAGGTTCTTCCTGAGCTTCTCATCTTTCCTTGAATAATCTCATTGTATATTTAAAGCCTCTTGGCATTCCTTTCCAAATGGACTGAGGCTGTCTCCATCTCTCCTAGACCCCTTTTTTTCCTGGCACTCCAATCTTGAATTGAAGGTGTTTTCAAGGACAAGCACAGAGCAGAATTCCCAACCCGAAAATAGGAAATTCACCAGGCAAAATTCATGACCTCCTGCCTCCTGTGGTTGCAGCCTCCTATTATTTTTGTATTTCTCCGGTGCGAGAAGGACATCAAGGAAACTTCTTTCTCGTACTTTCACCACTCCGATCACTGTTCCAGCCGCTCCTTTGGGATTCCTCCAACTTGCAGCTTCATTCCATATGTTCTTCTCTTTCCTGCCCAGCTTCTCTCCACCTCCCCTCCCTCCGCCTGTTCCTTTTTGCTCTGGCCCTATTCTCAGATGATATGTGTACATGTCTCCCTTGGCTTTTGCAGTTCCATAGGGAAGGGATCAGAGTCCTTTTTTTAAAAAGTGGAAGTATAAATGAATTAATGAAGTGATCAGAAGGAAGTAGATATGTCAAGATACAGACAAATTATATGAAAAAACAAACCGAAGCCTGGAATCTTGTTAACACCATGCAGGTAAGACCATCTATTTGATCTCTGGGAATAGTGGCAGGAATGTTTGTCCTGGGTGTTTATTGCAGGCAGCTCTTGTCTTTGTCATTATTGTGTAAAATTGGCTACAGTTTTAAAGAAATAAGGCCCAGAACCTAAAAGAAGTCCTCTGCACAATCCTGCAGAGCAGCTGGGGGTAGCCCAGGCCACAATACTGTGGCTCACCTGAGAGTAGGGCTTTTAAGCTAGAGGAGGGACCATGTGCAGAGGTAGATGTCACTAGGAAAGAAAGTTAAGTCCAGTCTAGGTTATATGAGAGTTTAGGGCATCACAGGAAATTAGGGGATATTTTCACTGAGGCCACAAATAGGGTTGACAATCTCAAACTGTGGATGCTTATAAGTAGGACATCCTGGGGTAGCAAATTTAGATTACTGTCTGTGTAGGAACATGGGCTATAGAGTCGGGTAGACCAGTGCACCCACCTAGTTCTGTACTTGCCAGCTATGAAACCCCGGACTCATTCCTTAACTCCTGTGAACCCTGAGTTTCTTCAAATGAAGTTGGGATCATAAAGCCCATCCTTCAGAGTTGCGATGTTGCAGGTTAAGTCCCAGGCACAATACCTGGCTATCCAGAAGCTCTCAGTCTAGCCTCACTGGCCATACTCTCAGAGTTGGTGGGGGACAAAGACATGGACACAGAGTGGCAGTGCAACGTGGCGAGTACCATAAGAGAGGTGTCCGCATGTTTGGGAGTGTGGAGACTGGAGAGGGGGTCAGGGAAAGCATCCTGGAGAAGGTGACAATTGAACTGGGCTGAAACCCCCAGGGAATAGCTGTGCATGAGCTGTCATTCCAGTGGTCTGCTGTGTGAGTGTGGAACGTAAGGGAACAGAGCCAACAGTGGCAGGGTAGAGATGACCCAGCCTTATTGTTCCAGAGAAAAATGTCATATCCCTTAGGGAATGCTCACACAATTAAGACCCCAGCTTGCAGCTACTTCGTACTTATCTTGTCTGTCATTGACAGCCCATTGGCAGGCCTTTTCATTGAGATAAATACAGTAAGAGAGGATAATTCTATTGACTAATTCCTCAGCCAAAGGAGCTCTTGAAGGTTCCAATTTTCCTATGGTCTTTTCATAAAGCAATCCAGGTTGCTTAAGAAGTGAAAATTAGAGGGCAATTGGAATCAACGGAAGAAAATGGTGTGGAGCAGACAAATCTGGGAGGACACAGGAGTGTCATGTTCTAAACTCAGTCCAGTCTGAGCAGGCAGTTCCCCTTCCTCCTCAACCCACTTCTCCTAACCCATCTATTGACTAGCTTATGCGACAGCTTTAATACATTTTCTGGCTTAAATGTTAATGGGCACAGATGAGTCATCTCTTCGGCTCTCCCAGGAAAATGTGACCTCCTAGGAAAATGTGACCTCAATCAGGTCATTTCTCCTTCTCTGGGTCTCAGCTTCTCTGTCTTTAAAATAGGGAATGAGTGTGACAACGGTCTGTGGATTTATCCAGCTCTAATGTCTAGGACTTCATGGATTTGCATTCCGAGAGCTGCAGGTCCCATGGGACAACAGATATCATGGAGGGTGGAGACAGCAAGGAAGAGTCATTTGGGGGAAACTTGGCCACTAGGGGAGCCACTGAGCAACGCTGTGTCCGCTACAGATTGAGCTGGATACTCCTGTTTTCTATTTTGCACCAGGGCACCCTGTGGTTTACCAGCAACCCTGGGGAGCGGTAGTGTTTTCTCAGGATTACAGGTTGCTTCATCTGACCCTGTTGCTGTCCCTGACCCTTCTTACTCATATCTGTGTCCTAGCACCTGGCACTGTACTTGGCACTTGGTCTTAACTCCATAAATGTCTATTCTGCTAGCTGAACTGAGCACCCAGCCCTCCCAGGGGACTAAGGAGAGAGACATTCAGTGAGGACAGAGGACAATTCAGTCCCTCCTGGATTTCTCTGTAATAACTAATCTTATCCATTATGGCTGATTCTTTCGAGTTTTTCTCTCAGAGGTTAATTTTTTTTTCCAGTCCAGCAGCCACCTCCCTTTCTCCCTATGTACTGACCCCTCTTCTTGGCTTGGAGCAGAGGCCCAAGCCTCTTCATACCACCCTCTGCCTTCTTTGCGACAATGGCAGGGTGGAAGAGGGGATTCTCAGTGAGTTAACTTGTTAATATTTGTCTTTAGCTATTTTCATGCTTCCTAAATTCAGGCAGGTCAGGTTCCAGAGCTGTAGAAGCTGTTGGGTGGTTGATAAATCGATATTAGAAGGTGAGATGCAAGAGTCAGCATGGGGCTGTCTCTCCTGATTTTGACCATTTGCTTCCAGGAAGGAGACTTCTCTCTCTCCTGAGCTGGAAAATGGAGGAATAAAAATCCTACCCCCTATACCAAGGAGAGAACACAGTTGGCCAAAGCTCTTCATTGTGATATTGGAATTCAGAAGGTCTTACCTGCATCTAAGATGACAACCCTGTCCCAACTGCAGTGGTAACCAGAGGAGCCTCTCATTTGGAAAGTCCCTAACCTCTATTTCACTGGAGTACCTTTTGGTAAAATTTCACATAAAATATACATCTGACTACATTCTTGAAAGACAGCCAAGTACAGTAAAAAGAGCATGGAATTTGAAGACGTAAATTTAACTTCTGGCTCTGTTGCTTCTTAACTCTGAATCTCTTTCCTTGTCTGTCAAATCAAAATAGCTATTTTGAAGTTATTGTGAGGATTAAGTGAGAGTATTCATTTATTATTTCAACAAACATTTAGTACGCACTGCATTCAGTAATCAGGATAAACAACTCTAATTGCCTCAGAAAGTAAAGTTCTCAATCTCGGTGGTGCAACATAACAAACCAAAAATTTTGATGCGGGTTGGTCAGAGTCACCCTTCATCTAGTGACTCAGGGACCCAGGCTCCCTCTATGGTGTGATGGTCTGCTCTCGTCACGTACTTGCCAGAGCTGTTGTAACAAGGGAAGAGAGAGATCAGGGAGGTCCATGCCTTCATACCTTGGACCAGAAGTAACACATCACTTCTATTCATGTTTCCATTTGTGAAAACTTAGTCATATGCTTTCAATTTAGCTCCAAGGGAGCGCCAAGGCTGAGAAATGTTTCTATGTTTTATCCCAGGAAGAGGGAGCAGTATGGAGCACAAATAGCGTTGCCCCCACCACAAGCATCTCGTGTGTGTGTCAGGAACTGTTCTGGGCAATGGGAACACAGAGATGAACCAAACAAAGTCACTGTCTTCAAGGAGCACACAGTCCAGAGATGAATGTTTAAGTGCAGTTAGCTCTTGGGGTAATTCAAATCTCCTTTCAAATTCTCTAACTTTGCCACTGTTTCCTCTTATCAATCATTATTACATTCTAAATATTCCATGTTCTTCAAACTTTATTTCATGCCTGTTGGTTTCATCTGACTTATCCCTGACTCCCTGAATAGAGGGCAAGTCCCTAGGGCAAGGTCTGCCTCTTGGTTACCTCTCCTCCCATGTCATCTAATGTGGAACCAGACACACAGCAGAGCTCCTTTGCCTGCAGATATCTGTTGCATGGGAAACTTGTGTTTGAATCTTTTTGTTTCCTTCCCTCAATCCTATTTCTCTTCTCTCTTTGCTCATGGTTTTGCTAAGTGCCCGCTCCCTAGATACATTGTCACAGGCTAGAGACACCTCCTTTCTCAACCCAATCTCCCTTCTGACACGTGGGAACTTGCTATTATCCCCAGAAGAGAAATAAAACATGTCTATCCTTTCTCTCTCTGCCAGACTTTCTCCTGGGACTAAGCAAGAGCTAGCCCCTGGGAGAACTGCTTGGGTTCTTGGGAAAGGGTGGCTGTCTGCAGAGTTGACCGATAGGAACATGAGAAGCTGGAAGTAAACAAGTCAAAGGGTGAGAGACACAAACTAGACTGTGGTCACTCTAGGGAATTGTTTGAGGCCACTTCTCTGGGCTCCCTTCCTTGGAGGTCACTTCAGACACCCCTCCTGCCACCCTCATGTCCCAGGGTAGAGGTGGGCAGTGCCCCCCATGGCTCATCATGCTCCACTCCTCTCTGACGGAGCGAGCCTGGCTCCAGACAGGGCTCAATGGTCTTATCACCCCAGCAGCCGGGTCCTGCCATGTTGGTGAACAATAACGGATTCAGCCTCCCGTGTCCATCATTGCGCTGCACCTTTAATCAGGAGTGTTATCCGTAGCTCCTGCCCGGGCCTCATTTAGATTTCTTGTTTGTAGCAATAATACCCTTTTAATATGCTAAATGAGCAAGCAAATGAGCCTTCCTCCACTTGGAGGTTTTTAAAAACATCGCTTCTTTAGTGGATGAAGGTCATTCTTTTGACAGATTAATACTTAACTAGGAGGCCCTGTTTATTGTCTGGGGTCACTTCAGTGGCTGTCACAGCATATTAAAGAGCGCAGGATTGCCCGTGCCTGAACAATGCAGCTAGGTGGGAGATGTGGGCAGGGCGGCCTCTTGCCGGATTCCCTTCCCTGGCTCTCATTTAAACTCTGAGGCCGTTATTAATACTTTAATTTGTAGTGCATTAATGAATTCTAATCCCCATTATGTGTTGAGCAAATGGGGCTTCAATAGGCTCTGTGCAAACCAAGTGAGTCCTGGCTGCAGTTAGACAGATGCACTAATGGCATTAGCAGAGCAGGAACTGGGTGCTCTCTTGGAGGTGCACAGGGAGGCAGCAGGGACACTGGGTCTCTGCTGCTCAGCAACAGGGAGAAAAAGCGGACGGGGTAAGAGAGAATCCCCTGACGGTGTTACTTGAAACCTCTGCCCCACTGGGCCAGTTCTCCCCTTAGACTTTCCAGATCCAGGAACCAATTTTCCCCACTTCTGCTGAAAATTTGTCTTCATCTGTAAAATGGAGATAATGATAGCACCTACCCCGGTATGCATATTAAAGCAGGTAATATAGAGAGATGGCCCAGGGCATGTAAAAAGCACTTAATAAGTGTAAGTTATCATTGCCATTCCCTGA